AGAGAGAGAGAGAGAGAGAGAGAGAGAGAGAGAGAGAGAGAGAGAAAATACACCTGCGCGGTTTTCTTGCGAGTAGCTCAATTTCGTGAGAAAAATACATTTGTCGAGATACCTTTAGCGGTAAATCGATAACATTAATATCCGCAATTTGCTGAGAAATTTATAGAATTAAGGGCATTTGGATGTTCTAGCAAACTTTTACGCAATCAACATTATAGAGATAAATTATGAAATTTGCGTTGAAATTTATATATCAGAAAATATAAGATGTAAAATATTCCATCGACAGCGAAAAGAGTAGGGGAACGCATACTCATTAATGTTTTCGCAGTAACACTTAGAAGCTCACAGAGAAATGATACATCTAGGAGCTCGATATTACAGTCTTATTAGACTTCTATTGCTTGCTGTTGGTTTATGGCCCTATCAGCAATCAATATTTACTCAATTTCAGTTTATTTTTTTCTCTGCTATTCTGTCAGCGAGTATTATATTTCAGGTAAGACAAGAATATTGTAATGTTATTATAAAATCAATTTTTTTACTGTACATGACAATGACAATCTTTCACTGCTTAATAATTTAGTTTAATCTATATTTTGCAATTTGATTTTTGTATCAAATTAAAATACTACAAGATGCGCTATGCGCATGCAATTTATTCTTTAACACTATATGCATGTGCCTGTATCCTGTATTAAAACTTTTATGTACAATATAAATAGTATTAATAGTATTAATAACAGATACTTATACACGAATTTCTGTAAAACTATCTCTATTTGCAGCTGACACCATTAATAGTATTAAAATGTACTTCGGACCTTGTTACCAAAGTCTTGTCTTCCGTATCTTTCTTTATACTGTTTATAATAAATTATAACGCATTCCGTCTTAACATTGAAGTTGTAAGTTAATGGCTTACAGAGCATCCGTTAAATAGGATTAACTTGTCCGTCAAATATATTTTTATAACAAAAAGTATTTTAATATTTATACAACGATAGTATAGAAAGATAATAAAAAATGGCAGGTGAAAAAGTTATTGATGGAGCTTCAACATATACTTAACAAATTAAGGGATAAAAACGAAATTGCTATTGCAAAAAAATATAGTTGTATCGCTAATCGTTACACGATTACGCTTACGGGTAAGGCAATATTTATTGATTTTTGCATGTAATCATATTTTCGATTTAATATCTGACAATAAACTGTCAAGTGGAGTGAAATCGACTTTAGCATATTATAACTTTTATACATACATACATTTATATATATATGATTTATTTTATTGCATGGGCCTATTAAAGCATTAATGTCACGTATTTGCATTAAATAGCAAATGTGCTTATAAATTGAATAAAATAGAAAAATAGTTATCAATTTTGCAATAAAATTTGATTTTATTAAATGATATTTCATGCCATACACACATGTGTACGGTATACATAAAATAATTTTATAATATTACACCCTAAAAATTTAAATGACAATTTATTTACGTTTTTTAGCAGTTGGAGTTTGTGGAATATTTGTTAGTATTATAGTTCAATTTTGGTCGAATTTAATTAATGTTGATGTACCGATGAATATGTCTCACCAACGGTCACGTCATTTATTCATTATAACGGAGTATTTCGTCGATCAAGAGAAGTATTTCCATTTGATTTTGTTCCATATGTACGTAGCTTTTTCTATCGGAGCGACTGTAATGGTAGCAATAGGTACAATGCTTATTACGTATGCTCAATATACCTGTAGAATGTTTAGAATCGCTAGGTAGGAATCATAGACGTAAAAATTATCACATCATATATATAACAGTCGAATAATAATTGGGACTGTTATACAAGTTATACACCAAAGTGTTATCTTTATATATATAACATGATATATAAAAAATTTTTTGGTAAAAGTTTGTTTTTAGCTGAAAAATTGTCATTTGATAAATTTGCTATATAATTGCAACACAACATTTGTAGCTATCGTATTAAACATGCAATGATGAGTATCGACATTTTACAAAACATTACGCTAAAAAATAAGATTCTGATGACCGAGGGCATAATTTATGCGGTCGACATTCACCGGCAAGCTATGAAGTTTGTATTTACGTCGACAATATTCATGCAATATACGTTTAATAATATTTTGTTTTGGAAGACTGTCTATTTTGCTTTTTGTTTTGGAAGACTGTCTAGGCATTTGTTGTCCGTATTCGAGATAATGATGTTTTGCTTAATAACGTCTGGAGTGATTTGTGTGAGCATTAACCTATTTCAAGTATGTTTTTGAATTTGTATAATAATTAATAATGTATGAGAGCTATCCCGAAGTTCTTCATATTAATAATAATACTGTCCAATAAATGTGTCGAGAAATTGATTCCTCAGATTTTTCAGATCACATCATCTGGAAATAATGTTGAGGAATTGTTGTTGTCGTTTATATTTCTATTTGCTGCTGTGACGTATATGTTTATAACCAACTATATCGGGCAGAATGTAACGGATCATAATAATCACGTACTTTCTACTGCGTAAGAAATATTTCATGAAATAGAGTATGTGAATGTTTATCTTTTAAGAGTTGTTTTATCAAAATAAAAATAAATTAATATTACTGTAAAATAAGTTGGCGTAAACACGAAGTTAACTAACAGAGATCTGTCTCAATTTGTCATTCATTATGCATATACAATTTTATAGGTACAATGTGCAGTAGTATAGAGCTCCAATACACATACAGAAGATGATATTGTTCCTGTTACAAAAACAAACCAAGGAGTTTATTTTGAGTGTGGGTAAATTATTTCATGCATCTATAGAATGTTTTGTCACGGTAAGATGATATAAAATATCTCAAAAGAGTATCATATTAGAAATAAATGTTATTAAAGGAAACATTTTTAATTAGCTGGTTAAGTCTTCGGTATCTTACTTTACCCGAATCTATAGAATCAGAAATTGTAAATATTTATATATTGTCTGTATTTTATTTTGACTTATAAAAATTACAGATCCGATTTTATAGTTTATTACAAATTATATAGACTATATATTTTATATTTTATATATGTATATTAAAACGTATATGCAATTATATTCAAATATAAACATATTATTCTTCCACCCATTCTTCATTAATAGCTGATATAATTTTAACGTTGTCCATCATTGTGACGTGAGTACCTTCCACGTAATGAATTTGCACTTCACCTTCGGTAATCTGAAATAGTATATTGTGCACCAAGGGGCGAAAGTAGCGTTTTTCAGACGAATGTGAAGTTTGCCGCCCGAACCGAAGGCGAGGGCGGCAAATCACACGAGTCTGAAAAAGCTTTCGCCCCCAAGTGAACACGATAATTTTCACAATATTTTTACGGAAAGTTTGACTTCCATGCCTAGAGAGAGGCGAGACTGGTCAATTTTAAGTCAGGACTTACTTTCCTCCCTAGGGAGGAAAGTGGTTACTTTCCGCCCGCTATGCCGCTCTGGCGTGAAATTGGCCGCTTTCGCCCCTCTTTACAGGCATGGAAAATCGAACTTTCCGTGGAGGTGTTGTGAAAATAATTTTTCTTGTTATAAAATTATCTTTAAAATTAGAATCTTATTTTAAAGATCTCTATTCGAATCAGATTTACCTTATGTAAACCATAATCCTCTTCAGTAAAAGAGATCATTGGGAGAGTAGGTTTCAACAATGTTATAGATGATTTAAGGCGTGGTAATGAAGATACATCATAATTCTGTATAGCGATTATATGATTGTATATTGTCGAACACCCAACTTTTTGATTTTTAGTGGTCAAGGCATTTAACTCTTTCGGAAAGTAAACGTGGAATATTTCTAATTTCTCTTCCCATGTGTTACATTTATCCAGCTCTAAAACAAGCTACAAATAACAATATATTAGCATTTTGTGCAATTAATAAGAAGTATACTAAACTAAAAACACTATCTGCATTTCAACAGCAATATAAAATAGTACAATTTTCGAAATTTTGGCAAAATTTTTCGATATTTTTGTTTTTTTCATTACTAATTTCTAAAACTCCTTCCATAATCATTAATACTCATTTATTATGTTTTGTACCTCTAAAATTATTGCTATTATTTATTATCATTTTTATACTTCTTTAGATATAATAAAAAACATTACAATTATTGCAAATTTATTATTAATTATGCTTATTCAACGGTATATAATCTGTAGTCTATATATTTTACACACACACACACACACACACACACAATATGAAATCTTAAAGAATAATATTTATGTTATGATATTATACATTATTTTATGTGTATGATCTTATTTTATCCCGGTAAAAAATTTTTTATATAAAAACATTTAAATATATAATCATATAATATTGTATAAAATATTATATAAAATATGTCCACATATGTCCACGTGTGTCTATATATGTTATTTTTTTCTTGTATAATCTCTGTTTGTATGTACAAGAAAAATAATAAGAAAAAGAATTAGAAAATAATTAAAAGGGTAATTTTTGCATTGTTCATTTTTATTTGCCTATATATAATTATATGTAATTATATATAAATGTAATAATGTATATAAAATATGATTATATATGAGCAATTTTTTCACATTTGCACAGATTTTATTTTTTTGTAAAAAACAATACAAAAATTATCCTTTTAATTATTTTCTAATTCTCTTTCTTATTATTTTTCTTGTACATACGAACAGAAATTATACAAGAGAAAAAAACATAGTTGGACATAAAATGGACATATATGGACATGTTTTATGTAATATTTTATATAACATTATATGATTATATATATTTAGATGTTTTTATATAAAAAATTTTTTACCGGGATTTAAATTTATTTAATCTGATATAAAGTTAAATAAAATGAGATCATATATAAAATATATATATTTTTTTTGCAATAAAAACTCAAAGTACATTTTCCATAATTTACTAACCATTTCTTGGTTAACTGCAGTGTACATTTCCAACACAGAAAGTAATATTATATTTTCTAATTCATGTTGAGAAATGCAGCTAAAATATTGATTAAGCCAAAATTTCATTTGATCAGGGGCTCCATCTATCAATATTAACCGTCCTGAGAAATCATTAGCTTCTAATAATCTTGCTAATTCGATGGCAATTAAGGATCCAAATGAATAACCCACTATTAAAAATTCCTTTTGATTTCTCATTTTCTTTAATATGTGCTAAGAAAATAAATATGAATGTATATATGAGCTATAATAATATATAAAAGACTTGTAGTTGTTAGATATTACTTATATGTATCTATATATATATACATATAAATTAATTATTAAATAATAAAAATTGAAATAAAAAGTTTAAATAATTTACGACTTCGTACAGGCAGTAAATAAGCGGCTAACTTCATCACTGAATGACTTTGACCTGAACTTTGAATATTAAGTGTATTATGTTGCAAACACGTTGTTGAATATTTAATTCCTGATGCTATGGATTTATATACGCTTGAACATCCTTCGATTCCTGGTATGAGAAATACATAGTCCCCATCAACCTCCTTTTTTGTAGCAAGTTCTACAAGAATATTTGGAACAAAGTCTGAGTTGGTTATTTTTCGAATCAGCATGTCCAAACCTTCCTTATTATTTGTATCAATTTTATTTATGTCGTTCGTTGTTCTCAGCTCGGTTGTATCTGTCATTTGTTTGAGTTTAGCGAAAGTAAGATTTCGGATATCTTGCGCCGTCAAAAAGACATCGAACTCTCTTTCTAATGTCTGCTTAATTTCTACTGCCATCATTGAATCCATACCCATCTCGGCCAGAGATATGTTTTGTGCTATTGTGTTTACATTTTTCAATCCTATTTCAAATTAAATTAAAAATTAAGAATAAATTTTATGTTATTCTGTGTAATATCTTTTAAAATAATATACTAATGATATACTTTCTATAAATACTTCAGGGATTTTTATTATATTAGCTGCTTAAAAAATTGCTTACCCATGATATGAACAATTGTTTCATAAACATTCATTGATCCACTGATATTTGCACCTTTTTCAGCAACAACCATACTGCTTACGACAGGGTGGTCTTGGAGCAAGAATACTTCTAACGTATTCAAACAAGAGGTTATTCGTTGTTGCAATGTACCTCCAATAACCAATTCTTTATTTTCTTCTTGCATATCTGCTACGAGTCCAACGTCACCAATGGCACCCCATTGTATCGCTAAACCGTGTAATCCTTCTTCCATCCTCTTCTCACAGATTCTCTCCATTACGGAATTAGCCATCCCATAATTTGTCTGACCTGCGTTTCCTCTTCCACACGAGACGGAGGAAAAAACGACAAAATGTCGAAGTTGTGGACAGATTATTCTCGACAATTCATCCATTTTCTTCGTCATCCATGCTTTTGATTTGAATGAATCCTCGAACGTATGCGGTGATTGATTTTGAAATATACAATCTTTTAAAACAACTGCAAGATTAAATATAGCGTCTACTGGTGCTCTTTCCTCAGCAATTTTTAATATAGATTCACAATCTTCATGTTTCAAATTAACATCGATTGTAACGATCTGTACATTTACGCCGTAAGATCGCCATAGGTTTACTCTTGATTGCTGATAACCTGTTTTAATCTCGGTTCGTGATGTCAAAACCAGATTTTTTGCACCTCGAAGAGTCAAC